GCTGAGACACATTTTTGCAACGAATTTACTCATTCACACCACTTTGCAATCAAGTACTATGTGAACCAGTCTGATTGATTTTCGAGGTACAAAAACAATATTCACCTGTATTCTATTTGTTTTAGTCCCAGTTGTGTAATCAGAGACGCAGCTCCGCGAATACGCTTCCAAGTGGATGAAACGAGTAGCATTGATTTCGAGCGGTTCACGATCGGCTTATTCTGCCAATTACGAATTCCGCTTGTCTCATATTGTGCACTGCCTTCTTTGGTTATTATGACCAGGAAAACAAATTTACGTTAATTCTAGCCAAAATTGATGAAACTAAAAGGTAATTATTAAACCCAGATGTATCAATATCCGTAGCATCCTGCTTAATATTGTTTTCTTTGTTGTTTACCCTTGCCCTGCCATTCGGGGATTCAGCATCCTAAACCTAGATGAAGTGATACTACTGATAAGTAGTCAAAATCTAAATTGAAACGGTCCGATTCCAAGATGAATGACTCAAGGGCGATGAACTTTTTATCACCAGAATTTCTTACATTTTTGATAGAGATCGATTATAACAATATTGGATTGCTATAAGGTACAATAGTACCGCAAATCTGTTGGTCGTATTTATAAGTCTGAGATTCTCCTGTTACCCATATTATCCGAATTGGATCTACGATGCGAACCCTGCTGACGTGTCATCGACCGTTTGACTTTTGCTTAAGTAGGATTGCAGAAATCACATTGTCTATTCGTTGTGTTTTAACGATTCCACCTAATAATTGAGCATGAAACACTTCAAACGATTAAAGGGAAGCTTGTATCCCTACTTGATCATAGATTGTATTTTTTTCATAATTTCAGTTCGTTTTGAAGGTAGTTCTGTTTGGATATGAGCACCATTTTAGCAATACAGAAATTAGGAAAGGGACTTGTACTCCTAACACATTTATACAGTTTGTCATTATAAATAATCGGTTTGGTTAACTAAGCGGCCAAACACGCTTGACGGAACTCATGAATTTTTGGCGTCGTTCATGTTTATTCACCTGTTGTTTGATGTATGTTGTACAATACGTGTGTTTGTGTGTGTACGTATGATTATGGGCGTGTGCATGTGCTTTTCTGTTGTTTTGATCGATCGCACCTGTCATGTTCACTAAGTAATATATAGGTGCACACATAAATGTCATCCTAAATTGGCCACATCCGCTGACTCGATTGCTGTCTTGTACCTTCCTTCCTCCTATTGTCTCCATTTCTCTCTCTCTCTCACACTTGTTCTCACTCATTCGTTCAAATTTTCACACACACGTGCGCACACTCACATCATTCTAACTGGTTCGGTGTCTCATTTTTTGTCTAACTCCCTCCTTTTTCCCCTGACCCCCCCCCACCTGCCCTGTCCTTCCTGCCCCTTGTCCCCACCATTCACCGACCCGGTCATAATGCACTCGCTTGCTGTCGTGCGGACGCCTTGGATTCCGGGGTATCCTGCCAACCTCATTCATCGTACGTAACTTCATTGTGCTGGATATCCGGTCTCACAATTTCCTGCTCTCCGTCTTGCCCCACTCCCACTCGCCTCTCTGACCCAAACACCTCTCGGCACTTTATCATTGCCTAACCTTTAACCAACCCCTACGCACTTACTCATCCGATCCCTCTGTATCGTACCCTGAAAAACCTTCCCCTCACTCGGTGATTTTGGTGTATATCTGCCACTTTTAATCGATCTAACCCATGTTTGCTCTGTTGATGTATGATGTATGTTACTATTGTTCTCACCGTCCCTGTTCACACTACCGTTTGTCACGCTCTCTGTCTCACATACACCTTTTATCTGTCTGATTGACTTTTAATTGATTTTTTTCGATCGATATATGCATACACATGTACTTGAACGCAATTTCTGGCCTAATTCTGCAAAACTTCCATGTTTCTTCGTGGTTGTCTCTCGGGTTACTTTCCTATCCTATCGATATATTTTTTTTTACAACTGTTCACACACGCACAAACATACGAACATTGACATACACGCATGCATCGCCGCGCAGAGTTTTACTGTTCACTCCCCTCTTTCGTCTGACCCGATCCTACGGACCCCATTGTCTAAATGGGACTCGAACGATTTGCGCTATTCTCCCGAACGCGATCTAATCGCACTGCATTCCCCGATCCTGTTTGACTCGGACGATACGGATGACCTGTTATCCGGTTTGGTATTACAGCCACCTCTCACTGGCCGAAAACCGAAACGTGGATCCGCCACCGGCGCCCAAACAGTGGACGCAGTCAACGGGCCTCATAGTGCACCCTATCATCGTCGTACCGGGTCACAACGGGGTCGCGCAGCTATGAACAATGGGATCACAAGAGGTGGCGCTGATATCAGGCAAATCCGTCAATCTCAGCGTGCGGATGCGGCTAAACGAGATACAACTCAACTTTTGAATGGAAAAACGGCTACCACAGTTAGTTTCTTGCTTACCTATTTTTTAATTTCCTTTTTGTCCTGTCCATGTTATACGTTTTGTGCAATATCTTTGGAGTTAAATACCTCAAATAAGGACAATGCAAGTCATCGGACGTTTCCAGATAACCAATGGGCGTATTTGTATTCAACAAGATAATCGTGCATATTCAGGAGATTTTCCATTCAAGAGCAATTGTCCGAAAAAAATATTTTCCCTTGGATTATCATATTCCATAAACAACAAAAGTATGAAGTCGATTGGAGTTACCAGAAAGTCCCTTCGTTGCTATCTGGCCAGATTGAACTGAATGACTCACTGAAGACAACACCTGAATAAACATAAATTAGCAATTGGGTACAGTTTTGACACGAGCTGGTTGGCACAGTGGTAACGCACACGCCTTCCATGCGATGGGTCCGGAGTTCAAATCCCGGACGGGGCGGTTGGGTATGCACTGCTGTTGAGCTCTAATAGTAGCGAAACTCGAGTCTAGTGCTTCCGGGGATAAGGTTGACTTGAAGATATGTAAGATATGAGCGTGGATAGGTCTGAAGGGTGGCCAGTTATAATAACCAAACATATTCAACAAAAGGAGCAATTTGTTTGTGTTTTCCTTCTGTAGGTCGTCTAATCACGGTGATTCTTTTCCATTGCCTGGATGGGTACAGACACCTGTTGATGAATGTTGTCGATAAGAGACGATAAGGGATATGACCTAGAATCAAAACCCGTAACTTAAGTTTCTTATGAACCCACATCAACGAAAAGATTTAAAAAAACTATAAGGAATTCATTTAATTGCGCTTGAAATGATTGAATGTTGACAAAGTGCACCGTACTGCTGTTTCGTCCTGGTTGAGGCTCGTCACCAGTGAGTGTCCCCGTCGGGATTGCACTGCGAACCTTCGGTTTGGGACTTCAAAGCCTTATCCCTGAGCTAAACGCTTGACGGGCATTCAAACACAATACTCTAAATATCAAGAATTCATTCGACATTAAACAAGGCCTCATCCTCTGCACTTCGATCAGCTCTGCTTTACGGTTGTGCAACCAGAATTGTTTTGACAATTGATGCCTACGTAGTCTGGTGGAGGTCTGAAAGAGTGAGCGGATTAATAACCTAGAAACAAGTCATCGAGTGTTTGGGGATGCATCAAACACGAGCTGATAAGGACATCGAATTCAACTCACTAGGCTTCGTTGGTTAGGACACGTTTTATGTATATCTAGCGGTCACGCCGCGCCTTAATTGCGGTGGCCGCTGCAGACAGGAATAAGCCACGTGGAGACCAATAGATGATGGGGAGACAAGACATGAGTAAATGTACAGAGCGATTAGATAGATTAGGTGTCTGTCGTCTTCCGGGTTTCGATCCAAGAGACTGGGTAAGTGGAGGATTGGAGACACTGAAAACGTGTGTATCTACAGTTGGACTGTGTACTCTGTGTGTTGGCCATAGAGGATTGTTTTCTCTTCCCGTCCCTATAAGTTGGCCCAATACCCATCTTCCTTACACATTCTTCATAACCTTGAACGCATTATGATTTTGGAAGCGATCAGTGGGTTTCGCTTCACTGTATTGTGCTGTACAACGATGAATGATGACTTTAATTATATTACGATTGACTTTACCCACTTTCTCTCTCTCTCTCTCTCTCTCTCTCTCTCTTTACAACCAGTTTTACTATATTCAGTATTGGTATCTTGNAAACAGATAAATTCATGCTGATTTCAGCTGAGGGATTGTTCCGCTTATTGCTAGGGTTGGGACTCGTTAGTTCAGTTCAAGAGGAGTATCTAAGAGGTGGAAAATTTATTGATCTACTCGAAACGTTACTTTTCACGGTATTGTAGGTTTCACTGTTTTCGTCATAAAGATTCTAATCACTCAACTTACATCATTTTCCCCCGCATAGCCTCAACCTTCCGATCACTCGACCGAAGCTGCCGACCATACCGTGAGCAGTCTACTCTCATCTTCCGATCACCCGTCCACTGGGAATGCGGATGATTCGGGTCTGGGTGAGTCCATCAAACCATTGTCATCGTCATCCACCAAAAGTTGTCTCGATGTGACCTCAGACGGGTCTACGAGCTTGTCTGTGCGCGCGTTGCATTTGTCACGTAGTCGAAGTTGGCCCAGGGACATTGTGAGCCTTGCCGAGCCGGTCGGTCCGCATGGGGATGAGGACGAGGATGAGGAAGAACCAGTGGCCGAGTGTGACCTGATGCTGGACCGATGTACGATCAACCGAACCCGATCATGTAGCTATCTTCCGGACGATGTGTCCGAATCCGCACTGGAATTGTCAATGCGACGTATTCATTCGCTTCCAAATTGGCCGGTAACAGACGGCGAGGATACGGAACAGGCGGATGGTCAGAACCAACAGAACCAAGGAGATCGCTCGGAAACGATCGTACCTGCTGTTCAGGAAACGGAATCCAATCAATAGATCGAGTGAAGATCATGCTCTAAAATCCCTCGTAAGTCCCACTACAATTACCATAAATTACGACGCACATATCAAAGATTTTCACTAGTGGAGAACTGTTCAAAAATCAGTCATTCAGAATGCTATGCAGTCTTTTGTTGACTACTGAGTAGGATTAAAGTAATACATTTATTATTTATTGAACAAGGGCCTATTAAGTGTTCAATAACCGATACTAAACTGTAAATCATCGTCAATTTTCAACGCCAGTCCGACATGGAGGGAGTTTGTATTAGTTCCGTACCTTTTTCAAAACACCAGTGCCCACCTACCTCACGAATGGTTGCTTTGAGATTATCAATGTCAGCTGAAGTAATACACGAAATTAAATTTCCATTGCAATTAGTTTCAAAACTAGTATCACATTCACCTCTGCAAGTTTGGTTTCAAAACACAAATAACGATTCAGTTCCTTGAAGGAAACCATGGATACGGGTTTCCATGCTGAACCCACTCAAGGAATAGTCAACTTTATTTCCATGTATTTCAGTCCTGTTCCAACGATTTTCCCACTCGCGTGCTTGATAATTCTTTGAACTGCCTGAGCAGTCTATATACCTCAGACTACAGGTACACTATTCGGAATAAGCACAGATTTGGAAATAAATAAGGTAAAACGAATAAGCAACCTCTGATAAAGTATAGATATGCGTTCTAACTAATACAACAATTCTTCATTTTAAACCTCTGCAGCCTTGAGCAGGACTAACAAGTCGTCACAAAAAGATCAACTCTTCCTAATCGTTTTGCATTAGTGGATTTACGCTCAGATTTCTTGCTCGGTCATAGTAAGATCATGGTGGGATGTCGTGCATCAGGTAAACGATCCCATTCCTTCTACGTCAGAGACGGATGACCGAGAGCCTGCTCGGATTACCCAACTGGTCGGATTGGTAATCCGTAGCCCTCTGATCCCAAGGTTGCTGTTCACTGTAGTTTTTTTCAGATATGCACTGTTAGGAAGAATGAAGCATCTGTGCTGTGCTTCCAAGGCTTTCCATTAGTGATTTATGCATCACTTTGCATGACGAATACACTCCCAAAAGGAAATAAAATTTCCCTCAACCTCTACTTTATCAACGAAATTAGGCAAATTCTACGGTGTTCTTTATCAGGTGTGGAACAAAGGAAACGCGCATTGAGAAGCTAAGTAGCACTACACAGTTGTTTCGATCTGATTGGGTCTAATCAGCACTGCACGAATCCCTCGATCAAAGTGAGGATCGAACCCAGTTAGATCGCAAGCATTGCGCTCGCTACCCACTGTGCAACTTATCAGAGCTTGTCCAATGTTTTCTGTACATGATCTAGCTCAGCCACTTTGTTTCCTAGCCTAATGCAGGCGTTAAAGGTTGCGCATCTCTACATTAGCTTCCAGAGTTGGAAATGTTTCGAACCTGACTATTTGATACATGAAAGTAGTAAAAAATCTGATTTGATTTGGGAAGGTCTCTCACATCAACATTCCTAAGACAGCAATTAGGTGCATGAAGTTCTCTTTGATTCAACAATCTTGCCAGTGTTGGAATTGAGCGGTAAAAGTGAACCAGCGCAGTTACCATTACCTATGGTAACTATATGAGTGTGAGTATCGACTCACAGAATTCACTGAATCCCCCAAACATCCTCTGAAGTTCTTGTTTGTCAAATGATTTGTCAATGACCGTCTGTAAAAAACCTAGGCAGCTTGCATTGTTCACATAAGTGCAACATTTAACACCTGTCAAAACTGGACAGTTCACCCGATGGTCTGTGAGTAGGTGTAGAACTCGCTGTTCTTGTTCACTGTAAGGTATTGTTCTTTCTTTTTTTCTCGGGAGTGGGGTGGGGAGTCGTAAAACTACAGAAAATCAGCAATCTTGCATTTGGGTTCTTTCATGGCACACCGCAAAATCTGTCCCATTCATAAGTTCAACGAAGCTAACGATAATATTTTACTTTTACGCTAATATTTTTCCGCTATTTTTTCACTTCATTGTCCTTATTGTCTTCTCTTTTTATCATTTAGTCTACCGTAAATGATTACCACATGCTGGAACAGAATTAGACAGCAACTAAAATCTTCGCATCATTGCTCGCTCGCTAGCTCAACCACACCAAGAAAGGAATAAAACGAATATACTACTGCTCATACATCAGTCCGGCTTACTCTTACAGGCGTCCACTCGTCCTCTGTCATCTTTCGACTTGCAAGCGTTGTCCTCATAATCACTTGACCTATTTTCGCACAAACAATTTATTTTTTTCTCTCTTTATTCCTTTGTTTTGTTTTGTTGTTTTTTTTGAGCATGTTTCTTCAACACCCCCCCCCCCC